CCGTGTTTTTGCATTGCACGAACTAATTTCTAGCTATCCCCAAGGTCAAAGCATTTGACCAATTGTTCACATGGACAATAACGAAGGTATGTGTTTAAATATTAATTATTCAAGTATTTATTAATAATTATTTAATGTTTTAATATATCTTTATTGGTTTTTTAAAGTACCACTTCAAAGACTAGATTCCATGATTATGGATATTGCATGATGAGATTCATTAGAGACATCATTACTCACACTAAGACTGCAATCCCTGTCAAGGTTCATATTTAATTTAAATACATTTGATATGTAACAAAATTTAATTAGTTAACTAACTTTATTATGGTTATAATAATTTAAATTGCAATTCTAGAATGACACTTATTGTGAAAAATTCAATGATACTCACATCAATGAAGTCATAGAAGAGTGTTTTCAACACATATTCCAAATATAGATCATACAAAATTCACACATTAATCATCAAGTGAGTGTGCATTTGGTCTAGGAGAAAAAAAATGTGATTTAGGATGTGATTGTTATTTCATTTTTTAGAATAGGATTGTGATTTAAGAATAAAATTTATGACTTTTTGAACACCAGGAATAATTTTAAAAAAATGTTGTTGATGATAATGCTTGTTGAGTTGTTTAGGATTACTTTTAGTGTAAATTGCAAATTATATTGGCGAGGGGCTGTATAAAAAGCAACTCCCATATTAAAAAAACATATTTAATAATTATATGCATACATATTTAATGATTATTTCAAATAACCATTAAATATATGAAAACATGTTTGACATGAAATAATATTCAAATATACCTTTTTAACTTTTCACCAGAACAATTTTTAGTATATTATTCTTAACAATTACAAATAATTATCAAGTATATGACTATATAATTCATGATTATTTAACCGTCAATTATATAGTAACTACATGGATAACGGGAGCATATTTGATGGTTGTTGACAGTGAAATATAGAGAATAACAACCGTCAAATATGCTCAATCAATTCTCTAACAGTGAGTGTCATTATTTTCATTTTTATTTATTTTTATTTTGTTGCCAGTGAGACAATGTGCTCTCGATCCGAGAGTCCGCAAAGACTCGTTAAATTCTTCCGTCTACAAATTTGCTGTAAATAAAGTTGATTTATAAGAACAATGTTTTAAAAAATTGTGAATAATTTCATTTCATTATTGATAACCTTTCCCATGCGAGATAAGCTCAAATTGACTTGTTCTTTAAAGAGACCAATTAAAGTGAAAAGTTTTTTTTTTTTGGGGTAATATAAAAGTGAAAAGTTTACATGGTGAGAAAGAGCCGTAATCAAATGCACGCATTATAAGCCTAAAGGCTTGGTCAAAAAAAAGAAAAAGGTCGCAGGGTAATCCCAGGGTTGGATGCCCGGACCATTCTGTCCTTTTTTTTTTGTTCAAATATGCTAAATAATAAGATAATATCTTATTTATTAGTTTTAGTAATATAAAAAAAACTAATAAATGGCCTAAACTCCAGAAGAAATGCAATGTTATTTTTACAAAAAAAAATCCTATTTATTATGCGTCACTTAAGATTTAGATATTTTTCTTTTTTCTATCTCTTTTATTATCGGAGGATATAACTGTCAAGTTCAATATTTCATTCAAATTCTAAAGCAAGCAAATAAAGTTATACTCGAATAAAGTGATTATGGTATAAAAATATGGGGTTGTTTTATTTCTTTCATCGATCTTAGTTTCTTGATAGAACACGATTAAGTTGGCGATGAAGTGTTTTGCAAGCAAAGCACCTAGGTAGGTTCAAAAGAAAGTACTTGACAGTGTATATTCTTTTTATTGAAAAAATAAAATATTTTTTAATTAAATATTGCTCCTAATAAAAGTAATTACTTATTTTTAAATTAATTATATTTTTTTATATTTATTTTTATTTAATAGATTTTTTTACCTTAAATAAATATAAAGTAATTTATTCAATATGAATAATTTAAAAAAGACAATAATTGCATCTTAAAAGATTAAAAATATCTTATATTTTTTTTATCATTTAACCTCTCAAAAAATGTCTCACATTATTTTATAGAGGGAGTACAATATAAGATATTTTTAATTACTTTACCATGATTAAGAAAGATAGTTAAAAATAATTTTTATTTATTAAATTAGTGAAAAAAATCAATAGAATTAAATTAAACTATCTTAATCATCTTTTATTTATTTCGTAAATAACCATTATCTACAATACAATTATTAAAGACACTTGTGAAAAAGAAGAATTCAATGGTGTCGATTTTTTGTAAAGTGCCTTGTATTTTTGGTTACCACTCGCTGGTAAACATTGTCATATATTTAGCCTGGATTATAAGTCCTTAATCAAGACTAATGTAACTGCAGGCCTCTTTTCAAATGGCATGTCTTTCACACAAAAATTAATGGCTTTTAGATACCCAAAACAGAAACTTAAGACTTCTTATTAAGAAGGATCAATCTGTGATTAATGATTTAAGCGCCAATAATAAATTTCCAATATTTTAATTTGAAACAAAAGTGAGTAAAAAGTTGCTTGGACAGTTTTGACGAGGTTAGGCATCTTGACATAAAACATAAATTAATGTGCGTCCTTGTAGATTAGGTAATTACACGTGGAAAACTACATAGAGAAGTCACCATCGTGACTTTAGAGTAGTTGGGAATTAACTAATTGTGTTTCTAGGTATACATCCCACTTCTTATTGACTAATCGTTCACTCATTTTTTCCATCAAACTCTTCATAATGACCCCCCTCAACCCGGAAAAGAACGAAAAAAGAAAAAAGACTTCTATGCTAGTTGTTAGCAAAATTGTCAAGCAGCCTCAATCCCTCCTAGAATTATCCAAAGGATATAATTAGACGACCATAAAAGTTCTCTCTCTTCTACAGTCTTCGAATTGTGCTATAAATTAAAAAAAGCAAATTAAGCGGGTCATTCCTACCTGAATTCTTCTAACACAAACGGCCGAGTTAATTACTGGATTTATCTTGATTTATTAGAGGCAGCAGGACAACTCAACCAGGCTGAGGAATTACTCCTTTTTTATTGGTCACAAATATTCTATTATTGAATACAATTTTATTTGAGATATAGTCAAATATTAATGGCCCATTTGAGTAACACTTAAAAGCATATTCAAACCACATTCGAGATGTATTTTTGCCAAATTTAATAAAGAGCTGGATTCTCTAAATATATTTTTGTCAAATATAAATTAAAAATCAAACATATACTAAATATGAGTATTTTTTTTAACAAAAATTTTGAATTTTGGTTCGCTTGTGAGGGACTTGCTATTCAGAAATATAATTATTTCTTTTGATCCAACTTACTATAACCACAAATTATTTAGCGTTGTTCGAATCTTCTAGTTAATCATTACGATATTCAAGTACTGCAGACGCAGAGTTCTTTTTTTTTTATTGGAAAAATTATACTTAGATCCTATGAAAAAAAATTATTAATAAATTCTATAAAATTCATAAAATATTTTCAAATATCAAATCTTATGTATTTACACATAAGTAATGAGCATTTATAACTTATAAAAGAAAATGATAACTTATAATAATAAATTAAAAATACTCATTTTTTAGTTATAAATGCCCTTAGTTAAGTTGTAAATGTATAAGATTTAAAATTTAAAAGTATTTTGTGAATTTTAAAGGATCTCTTGGTAATAAATTCTTTTCTATAGGGCCTAGATGTAATTTTTTCTTTTTTATATGTGATTTCCGCCCACACTCTAGTTTCTGGCTCTAATTCAAATTTTATACTCTTAAGTTTTAAAAAATCACAACAATTACACTTGCCGTCTAATTCAAAAGGGCTTGATCGAACCAGAATGGCTGTGTATTAATATTATTTTTTAACAGGTTGAGTGAAGTCTTGTATGACATATAAAACATGAAAAAGGTTGGCAAATAAGAATTGATGTGTTGATTGCTGGAGACTGAGATCAAATCTTCCCAAATAAAATAGAAATGGATTTATCATATTTATGGTTCAATGCATATTCTGAGTTCAGTACCCCTTCCAATAGAACAAATCTATTCCTATACCTAAAAAATTAAGAGCATCAATTCATCAATTTTATTTGCTCGGCTATGGTTGTGCACGTGAAGTGGCCAAGATATTTTGTAATATATGGGATATGCAGAGGATCATGTGACAAGCAGAAGAATTCTAGGTCAACAAGTTACATAGCATAGGATTGGTGGTAAAACAAGGCATTAATTATGGGAATGACTACTCTCTTTTTCTTCTTTTTTCTTGTTCAGGCTGACGCAGTACCCCAATGCTTAAGCAAACGTATAGACAAGAGAGGCATCCAGTGTGGACACCCGCACTGACAATGTTTTTAAATCAAGCTGAATGTTGAATTAAAAAAAGTCAATAATTTACAATTCATGTAATTTAATCAAATTAAATTAATAGTTAAATAAATGATGTAATAATTAAATTAAAAAAATTATATATGTATATAATAATCTAAATATAAGAAATACATATAAAATTATTATTTAACTTAAAAAATTAAATATTTTAAATTTATCATAACTTAACAAGTCACATGATATAACATAATATCAAATGATTAAAAAATTAGTTATTTATTTAAAATAATTATAAAAAATAAAAAAAAAATTTTAACAATTCAATTTTTAAAAATCGAATTCAGTTCCTGACTTGATTCCAATTCTCGATCTGACTGTCCATGTCCATCCAAAATAATTCAACCAGGCTTAACTTTTAAAAAGATTTTCTCATATAAATCAGACTGATTCTGATCCAATTTTCAAAACACTGTGCACTTGTGTCCTCGTCCACCACCTTAAAAGCACCTTTGAACAGCATCATAGGTCTAGGATATGATTCCCCCAAGTCCAATACTTGTGGATAACATCGACTTTTCCCAGTACCATAATTTCATATCCAAGTTCAAAGACCCTGCATTTATTATCTCCACCCAGTTTGGCTCTTTCTCACCCCATTCAAGTTCCATGCATAGAACCAGGACTCTCCGTACACATTTTATCTATTTTTGGGTGAGTTTTTGACGCTTTTCTTTTCGCTTTACTGCTTTCACCTTTTATCTATATCCGGTGACCATGCTGTATATACGCTGGACTCATCAATCATGTACGTTACAGCTTTTGTATCGGAGATATGAGATGGCTAGGTATCACAAGAGGGTTATCCGATCTCGGTTCATATATGAGGTTAGGTATATAATAATTTCAGAAAAGTGAGAAACAATGAAAAAAAGTTGGATGAGACTTTCAATTGTGTGAGGATCAATATTACCGGCCAGGACCACCAAAATAGATGAGGATAACCGAGTACAACCAGATAATTGTCGTTTGAGCTGTTGTGGGAGTGACGCGTAGCATGGCCTCGGCTCATTGCTTTCTCTTATCTGTGGTCAGGAATGAAGCAGCACGTCTCAACTTCGTTGATATTACCCAATGATATGGGGAAGACCCCGTCATGTGGCTCCCTTTCCTTCAAAGTTTGACTCGCTCCATCTGATACTTACGTGCCTAGCTGGCTTCTAGTTAGGCTTCTAGTTAGCCTTTACAGAAATCATTGTTCTCAGGAATACAAGTGATGATGTATTGATTTTTTCCGGCTAGGGGGTGTTTTCTTCAAAAGAAAAAAAATTGGTGGCAAAATTAATGGCCGTTACGTCCTTCAAACAACATAGTCTACGGGGACAAAAGCATAAAAAAAAAAAAATGTCATGGTCTTCAACAATATTGGGTGTGCCGCACGTAACTCACTGATGGTCCACTAGAACAAATGAGAATGCCACGTAGTTACCTACGTCGTAAGACCGTGTTTGAACAACTTTTAGTTGAATTCTCACGCAAATATTTAGTCATTCTTTGACTGTAATGATAACTGACCGAGACCGATAATATGAATCTTGGTTTACTAGTTGCTTTAATTTTGGTGGCCAGACCAACTTATTTGCAAGAATGCATGTATCAGTATTTCACAAAGCCAGGTTTTCTCAGAACTATAATATATAAAATGAAACAGAGAAGCCTGATCGATGTACAGACATGCATGCGTAAGATATTTGATATTGAGTTTCAGATTTTAATTACACTCTATTATTGCTTTTTTAATCAAGGTTGGGTGAACAGAAGAATTACATATGTATCATAAATATCTCATAATGAATAAGTTTCCTTTTGAATTAAGAAACATTAGAGTGGCTACAGTGAAAAGGACGGGTGTATGGACCACAGGAGGGCACTAACTATATTTCGAGGCCATGGTATTTTCCAATCCCAATCAAGAAAGTAAAATGTGGCAGTACAGAAGCATGAAATAAATAAAAATATAATTCCAGCACCGGTTTCTTTGGTTTCATGACTGCCACGTGGGCCAATAGGCGAAACCCACTTGTGGGGTCATTGGACATTGGAGCTTTAGCCTGGAAATTCTCTGCGGGAGAGACGAGGGTGGTTCTTTGTTTATTTATTTATTCCCTGTTGGTTCGGTAGGAAATAAGAAGTGTGGAAATCACTGGGGATTGATTTTGATTGGGAATAAGAAGAGCATCTTCTTTTACTTGAACATCCACCGGAACTTGCTAGTGCTGTGATTAATGTATGTGGAAAGAAGCTCCCCAACAAAGTGCCATTAACAATGATTATTGGTATTTGACTTTTCAATCCAATCTCCATTTCCGCACACTAGTCACCTTGCTTTTGCCTTCGTCTTTGTCCCTTTCTGGATGCCGTTGCGCCTACAATATTAGGGCGTGCTACAGCCCACCTTCCTCGTTAATGTCCCTCTGATCCAACCATGAGCTTTATACCTACATAATAATACCATCCTTTCCTCCATTTCTCTGATCCGGTATATATTTGCTGTTTGTTCTTTCCTTTTTCATCAAAATCTCTATCAGATAATTAACATTAGCCTGTATTTGGCCAGTCCTTTTTGTTATCAATAACGCGCTGGCCTACCTATAGAAATGGACATAAACCAGGCTTTTAATAGAGGCTCCTGATCTAACTTATTTATTAAATAAGCTCAAATTAAATTGAGATTTTTAATTATATTTAATTAATTAAATAGAGCATATCTATTTTTTTAAATTTTAGTCTATTGAGTCCAATAGACTAACTTATTTACGCGCACCACATATATAATGTAATATATCAATTTCATCATTTAATTTTTAATCAATTTATTTTATTTTTATTTTTAGTTATATATTCAATCATATTAAATTTATAAATTAATTTTAATATTATATTTTATTGTTATATTGTATTATAGTTGGTAAGTCCTTTTAATTATTATATATTATAGTTGATAAATTAAATTATATATTGTATATTATAATAGTTTAAAAGTATATTTAAAAAGTTTAAAACTAAAATATAAATATAATTTTAAATAGGTTAAAACTTTTAAATAGGCTTTCATGTCATATCAAGTTTTAAGTAGGTTAACTTGAGTTATAAATAAAGTTTTATACAAGTTTTTAATTTATCATACAAGTTTAAATTTTTAATTTATTATATAAATTTAAATCTATTTGATCAAAAACTTAACCCAGCCTGATTATTTTTCACCCCTAACTGCCTGTCTGTCCTCCTCATTCCCAGGTGTATTTTTTGAGACACAACAGCTGTAACTTTATACTCTTCTTCACGAGAATATATAACAGAGGGAACGAAGGGGTGCAGTCAAAAGGTAATGGTAATACTGCCACAGCGACCATGAAGACAAAGCAGCATCAGGGCCCCATGCTGCCACTAATAATTTAGGATTCAGGGGTTGTGGGGTCAGGTAGACACGTGTCGACAGGTCATCTCAAGGAGGGTGACGTCAGAGCAGCGCCGCCATCAAAGTGCTAGTGTGTGCGTGTGAACGGTGAGGTGGGGTTGGGGGGGGGGCCGCTTTTGCCTTGAAGCAGTGTGTACAGTCCACTGTTTAAACACTAAACTCTCTCAGAGATGGACCCCACTTATGGAAATTTCAGAAACTGATCCACCCCCCTTGGCCTTCCAGTGCTGTGCCTATCTAATCTCCAATTGGCTCCACTCACACCCACTAAACGACAAATTTCTCAGCTCCATATAACACCCTTCCCTCCTTTCCTCCCCAAAAATTTCAATCCTCTCCTCTTCCCCTTCTGTGAAACGTTAATGGGTAGCCCGCAGTCCAATTTACCTCCGGGCTTTAGATTCCACCCTACCGATGAGGAGCTCGTTCTTCACTATCTCAGCAAGAAGGTAGCCTCTCTGCCCTTGCCAGTCTCCATCATTGCCGAGGTTGATATCTACAAGTTCGATCCCTGGGACTTACCGGGTACTCTTTCTTGTTTTTCTTGTTTGTGGAGTTTTATTCCGAGTTATGAATATTAATTGCCTGCGCAAAATTACAGAGAAGGCAGCGTTTGGGGATAAGGAATGGTACTTTTTCAGTCCTCGAGACCGCAAGTACCCGAACGGGGCGAGGCCAAACAGGGCAGCTGCTTCAGGGTACTGGAAGGCGACAGGGACTGATAAGACCATAGTGGTGTCGTTGCCGGGAGGAGGAACGGCGGAGAGCATGGGGGTGAAGAAGGCTCTGGTGTTCTACACCGGAAGACCCCCCAAGGGCGTCAAGACTAACTGGATCATGCACGAGTATCGTCTCCTCGACAACACCAGAAACAAACCCATCAAGTTCCAAGACTCTTCCATGAGGGTCAGTCATTCCGATCCCGACTTGGTCACTATTCCCACCATATCTCTGTTCGATTGTATTCTTCGTCTCATTGCTTCTTGCTTTTTGGTTCTTGGCAGCTTGATGACTGGGTTCTTTGCCGAATTTACAAGAAGTCCAAGTATGCTGAATCTCCCACTGCAGAAACAGAAACCTTGACGGCCGACCAAGATCTAGCTGAAGAGCATATTGTGTTATTACCAGGCTCTCAGTCTCCCCCTTCTCATCAAAACACTCTGACTTCTCAGAAATCATTGTCTTTCTCGAACCTGTTAGATGCCACGGACTTCTCCATGTTGAGCAGCTTATTATCTGACAACTATTCGACCCCGCCTGGGTTTGAATCAGTTCCTGCCGCGAATTCGAACTCTGAAATTCTCAATCCGGATCAACAATCATACCAAAACACTAATACCAACAACAGCTGCTACCTCCAGAAAACCCTCCATTTGAACCCCTCCGTCCAAAACATGGAAAACAACACGCGCAAGCGTCAGATTTCTAGCATAGATGAGGATTTCTCGTACCCATCAAAGAAGTACCTGAGCTCTTCCTGCAGCTTCCCTAATAACAGCACGACCCAGCTCCAGAACCCACAATGGAACTTCCTCCTCAAGCAGTCGTTGTTGAACCAGCAGTTACTGCTGGGTCCTCATCTTGGCTTTCAGGGATAAATCTACACACTTCAAAAGCAAAAATAATGATGAAGTATTTTAGGAGGAGATAATTAGTAAAATATCCAGAAGCCGAGCCCACATCCAGGGCAGCACATCGTCTGATCTATCCGCGCATTACGTATGGATCAGTACGAAAAAAAATTAGGTGTCTTTTTTTCGGTGTTAGCTAGAAAATGGTGAGGATAATTAAAATGGACAAGAGGACTGTTGAAATGATGAGGAATTCAAAGGTAAGAATCTAGCGTCAAGCGTGAAGGAACTGTAATCTCCTGGCTCGATGACGGGTCGAAAATGATTCGTGTACAAAATTAATTAACGGTAGTAATTTGTATGCGGTGGGTAGGCAGGTAAGCTTGACAAGATACCTGTAGATAAGGGATTGCTGAATGCTGATTGTGAATTGTGATGTTATGTCATTTGTCATTCTTTTTCCATGAGGAAAAGTCTCCTGTGTCTTTTTTTTTTTTCTATTTTAGAACTTGATTCTCGCCACATATAATTCTCCAGTTTCACTATTTCAACACTGCGCCGTCGTTTTTTTTCCCATAACGCCTTGTTTTGCCTCTGTCGAGTAACCATCAATAAATGTGCGAATTAACAGTTTCCATATGAACCCATTTGAAAACTTCCTGAAAAACCAACGATAACATATTTTCCAAGAACTTTGAACTTTGAAGTATTAACTGATAAATTCAGGCGCAGTAAACAGAATGAAGAGGGGGTAACATTTGGGAGTCCGAATTTAAAAAAAAAAAAAAGAAGAAGAAGAGGAGAGGAAGTCGTGGGAGTCGGGAAATCCATGTGCATGGCGAAAAGAATGCGGGTAGGTGCAGTTTCGGAGTTGTTAAGGTTATATGAATGACGCGTAATCGTTGGGTGACGTGGCGCAGTTGTTGAATAATTTAACATTACCCGGTTCCTCGCATCTCTGTCCGACTGTCCCCATGCGTACTTTTACCCTTCCATTAATTAATTGCATTGTACTTTTTAATTTTATTTATAAATTATTTCTATCGATATTATCAATATTAACATAATAAAAATATAAATAATAAAATTTAATAAAATTATGATCCTAATTTTTAATAAATAAATAAATTATATAATATTATTTTTTATTTTATTATTTTTTAAAAATAATTTAAACATTTTATTAAAAATAAAATATTATTATTAATTTAATAATTTATAAAATAAATTATTTTATTTTTTTAAAAGGTGATTAATAAAATAGATAGAGTGAGTAATTTAAAGTTAACTTATCCTTCCTACGCTCCACCCCCAACCACATTCTTATCTCTTCACCAAACTTCCTCGCTTATACACATGCTTCGTCAAATTTGTGAATTAAATTCACTGATCATCATTTATTAATGTCATTTTGTTTCATTATTTGACTCGTCCTCCCTTTTTTTTCATTGACAAAATTCTTTTGACTAGTTCATACAACTTAAGGGACAAAGTTAAATTAGTTTGTATTAAACTTGCCTTTCATTGAATTTCAAAACCATCGTAAAATTACTTTAGAGTCCTATTGAAGGATTGTAAATATCTGAGTCCTATGAAATAGTTAAAATATTTGGAAATCCCAAGACCTCTCAATAAAAATAATTTTATATGTTCATTTACAAATTACCCACCACTCTGAAATCCCTAATGCTATGCTTGGCTCGTAGAAAAAAAAAATGAGAAGGAGAGAAAAGTGAAAAAATATAATTTTTTTTCATTATGCTTGGCTAAGTGAGAAAAAGTAAAGAGAAAAGAAAAGTTATTAATTTTATATAGACAATAATAACCTTATAATTTATAAAAATATTTATGTAATAAAATTTAATATTTTAACATATTTTGTATATAATAATTTTATCACATATTATTGATTGAACAAAAGCATAATTAAAATTTTTTTATCTGATATAACAAAAAAAAATTTATCCAATTTAAAATTTTATTTATTAAATTATTAAATATATAATAATTTAATAAATATAAGATATTTAATTGAAAATTTAGAATTAGCATTTGTCTAATTAGTCCAAAAATTAAATATACAGATTGTTTAACAAAATTTTATAATCAAAATACAACTACAATACAAATATAGTGATAAAAATAGAGGAAAGCAAGATGCGACAATAAAAAAATTAGTAGGTAAATTTAAAAATAAATTTTTTTCTCTAAAATCTCCTTATATTTGGAGAAAAAGTTGGAAGTAAAAATATATGAGTCCCACATTATTTTCCTCCTAACTTTTTCTCTTCTCCACTCTTCCCTCTATAGCTAAGCAGGAAAAATGTTGTTTTCTCCCCATTTCTTTCCCCTTCACTTTTCTCTCTATAGCATAACTTATCCTCTTCTCTTCTTTTGATCACTTTGACTTTGAATCCCCCAAGATAGTCAAGAACTCCTATGCTTCTTGCACTGGTAAGAAGGGAGTCGGTCGCAGTGCCAAGCCACTTTAGGGCTCCCCCTTCCACAGTGTAAACCCCAACTTCATGTGCTAGAGAGATGACTCTGCCATTAAAAATGGCATTGGCGACGAGTTGATTTACAGCGCAAAGTTCACATATGAGAATTTCATCAAGAACCATATTAGTCCTAAAATCCTTTCCATGGCGAATGCTAGCCCCAAAACTAATGGATCACAGTTCTTCATCTACATGGCCAAGATCGAGTGGCTCAACAGCAAGCACATATAGTGTTCGACCAAGTCATGAAGGGCATGAATGTGGTAAAGAAGGTGGAAAAGGTCAGATCTAGCTTTAATTTGGCAAGACTTCCATGCCGACAGTGATTGCAACTACGGGAAACTCTCTTATATGGCTGTGGCCTTGCCCTTAGTGGCTTCTGATCTGAACCTCTGAACCACCATATTGTGTCTTCTTTTCACTATCTCTAACTTTTTTTAATCTTTGATGTTTACTAGTATCTTTAGTGTTTGAGCATGCCATTATGTTCATTAATCTTATAAAATGGTCAAATAAGTCTTAGGTAAAAAAAAAGGAACAAAATTGGTACGGGTTGGTCCATTTTCTAGAGAAATAAATTGATGATGGCAAGGATGAAGGGATTGATGATGGCAACGATGAAGAGAAATAGATGGACCATATTTGGGTCATGTAAAAAAGTGTGTGAATTTCTTGATTGTTCACCATTATCATGTTAAAGGAGAAAGAAGAGTTCAGACTAATCAAAGAGAGGAGAACAAGTTACAAATTTATGAGTGACAGGCAATATAGTAATTGAACAAAAAAACTATTTATCTTGAGAGCCTTAGGACTTCAAAGTATTTTTACCATTTTATAGGAATAAAGGTATTTACAATCTTTATATGGGACTCTAAAATAATTCTCCCTTATAATTACAAAAGATATATTTTTATATTTTAAGTTAGAGAACTAGCTTAGAGGGCAAAGACTTGAAAGATGGGATGTACACATAATTAAATATAAATATGTAGGTTTAAAACACGAGCCAAATGCCATTATAATTGAGCAATCTTGATCAATCAAATGAAAGGGTAAGAAGAAAGAGCACCAATATTAATCAAACATTGTAAACACGAGGACTATGAATAATATGGATGTTAAGCAAAGCCTTTTCAATAATAGAGAAGTTATCTAATCTATTCACCTGTACTTGGGCTGGGCCATCATTACAAAAATAAGAATGCCCTTTCAATGCATGATGATCCTTTTTTATTTTTTGGTCCAAGTATGATGATCCATTGTTCACAATGACTATTTCTGGGACCGATCTATTCATTAACCCTTGAGCTAGTGTATGATGTACAGACATGTGTAAGATATTTGATATTGAGTTTTAGATTTTAATTATATGCTATAATTGCCTTTGTTAATTAGGGTTAAGTGAACAGAAGAATTACATGTGTATCAGAAATATCTCATACATTGAGAAAGTTTCCTTTTTGAATTAAGAAACATTAGAGAGGCTAGAGTGAAAAGGACTAATGTATAGACCACATGAGGGCATTAACAAGGTTAAGAGACAAAATGAACAATAAACTAAAACTACCACACATACCTAAAGCTGCTGAATGGTGAGCCTCTGTGTTAGGAAGTGCGCAAATAATCAACGGAGGTAAATAGGATAAAATAATTAAAAATTATAGAAAAATTAGAGAGAATCATGAAAGATGACACATGAAATTTAATATGAGAAAACCCTCAAGATAAAGGACAAAAAAACCCTTAAGCACTGAGCGAGTAATTTTACTATAGAAAATAAAAATTATAATAATTGTTTCTATTACGGGAGATGAAGAGACAAGATAGATAGATAGATAGATAGATAGATATATATATATATATATAGCTTCTTATTAGCTAAAAATATTGGATAATAATAAATATATCCTAAAATATTAAATAAAGATATGATAGATTTATACCAAGATATAATATATAAAAATAATCATAAATGATTATAAAAATTTAAGTCACAATCTCAACATACTTCCTCCTGACTTAAATTCAATAATATTCATAATTGCCAAATAGCTTCAAAGGGCAATCAAGTGCTGTGAATACCAACTAAACTCAAACAATGCTCAAACTTAATATCAAGAAGAGACTTTATAGGCATGCCTATTGGATTTGATATGTATGAATTTTTTTCACAATAATTTCACCAATTGTCACAACATCTCTGACAAAGTGATGTTTGATATCTATATGCTTATTTTTCAAGTGATATCTATCATTCTTAGTCAAATGAATAATACTTTAATTATTATAGAAAACATAAATAACTCATTGGGCAACACCAAATTCAATAATAACACCTTGTAATCAAATGGCTTCCTTTACACCCTCAATTCTGCTATATACTTTGCTTCAATTTAGGATAATGCAGAAATAAATGGAAGAGATACTCTCCTGCTAGTAGAAGAGCCACAAAGGAAGAGATTTTCTTCTATCAAAATTACAACCATGATCAAAATTAATAAAACCAATAAGATTGTTAGATATATATATATATATATATATTTAATTTTATCAAATACCAGACCAACATCAAAAATATTTTTAAAATAATAAAGGATTCATTTAATAGCATTCTAATCATCCTCTCTAATATCGTGTACATAGTTGCTTACCACACTTACTGCATATACAAGATCAGGTCTAGTACACACTATAGCATATATAAGACTATCAACAACACTTGAATAAGGAACTATTAACATTTTCTCAATATTATTTTTGGATTTTAGGCAATTGAAAATGAGCAACAAAAGAAGTAGATATAAGTTCATACTTACTCATATTAAATTAATCAAGTACATTTAACTTTTTTTTTTGAGATACACACAATTTACTAGCTTGGCGATCTCTACAAGTTTTCATGCCAAGGATTTTTTGTACTGCACCAAGGTCCTTCATATCAAACTCCTTATTGAGTTGTGTTTTTTAATTTGTTA